ATCACCACCCACACCTGTTAATGGACCAATCACTGGAACCATGGTAGCTGCTCCTTTAAGGCAGGGCTGCAATCACCATGAAATGTGTTTTAGGGATAAAGTTCATTTTCTAGGCAAATATTGACTTTGCAATTAATTGCTGTTACGCTGATCACTCTTTAGAACATTCTGGAGTTTATGCAGATTACTGTTATAAAAACTGAAGCAGTTGACTTTGGAAATATTAACATTGAATCATTCTCAATACTTTTGGCCATGACTATATACTAAGGTTTTTAAAAAGTTAAAGGTTCATAGAATTGAAATCCAGCCAGAACTCCAGTTAACCGGCTTATTTAAAGCATGTACATTTTCTGATCCTCCAAAAGGAACCAGGATTGGAATCGTTGAAACGATGCCGAACGCTGATCGTCTGAACTGCAGCTGTTTTTGTTTCCTGATTAGTTGGTTTAATGTGTTCCTCTCTCTCTCAGGGACTCCCATCAACAAGCCCCCAGTGTTGGGCTATAAGGACCTGAACCTATTTAAGCTCTTCAGGCTGGTCTACCAACTGGGAGGCTGCCGCAAGGTGAGGGAGGCGATGTGTGACTGATTAGAGTAGTGTGTCAGTTGAGTGATGATACCCAGAAAGTTTCGCATTCTGGACTGAGATCCTGATGATTCTCTTGGCTGTCTGACAGAACAGGTTTGGAGCAGCGTCCTGATAGAGGAATCCTCTAGCTTCACTCAGGTTCTCATCTGTGTCTGTTTCAGATCGAGTCCGGCACGGTGTGGAAGCAGGTCTACATGGATCTGGGGATCCCTATACTCAACTCTGCTGCATCCTACAATGTTAAGACGGCCTACAAAAAGTAAGACCTGCTGGAGTGCAGCTGAGAACACCTGCTGAGCTCCATGTCTGTTCGGCTTCATGTGACGTCCCCCTGCTATCTGCTCTCAGGTATCTGTTTGGGTTTGAGGAGTACTGCTGCTCAGCCGGCATCACCTTCAGAACCATCCACCACAACGACCCCCTTCCCAGCACCACGATGAGCTATCATAAAAAAGGAAAAGGTGATGTAAAGGAGTCCTTCATGACACCACTGAAAGAGCATTTTGCTGAAGACAAGAAGGAGGAGGCAGATTCAGAGAGCGAGAGCGAAAAGGAGGTGAAGGAGAGACATTCATCGCCCAGGGTGAGAATCGGCTCTTTGTTTTCATTTCAGTGATTCAGCTCAGGGATAGTTTAGAGCAACTCAAAAGGGGAATCTGACCTGATGTGTCCTTTGAAACTGAAACGGATTTCTGATTCGTCTGACTGTAGGGAAGGAGGAGGGGGGGCGTGGGGAGTCGGGGAAAACTTCCCGCCAAACCAGAAAGTACCGGACGGGCAGCAGACGCCACTGAGGAGCAGCAAAGAGAGGTGAGGAGGCGCAGCAACAGGAGACCGGATGACTCTGAGAAAGGCTCTGATGAGGAGGAAGAGGATGACGATGACGAGGAGGATGACGAAGGGGAGGAAGAGAGAAGAGGACAGGGGTAAGATTCTGATAATGAATTGGTAAATATATTAGCTCTGTGTAAAGCCACATCTCTATTGCAAACTTAAAGGTGAGGAGTGACCCTGTTTGTCTAATGACATTTGTTCTAAATTAAACACAATCCAGTAAAATATTGAAAGAAATAGATTCAAGCTCATTCATAGGTTTGACTATATGGGGCTGAATTGAGGTTCTGAGGGCAGATTGTCTATAAAACGCTGTCTAGGCAACGCAGCCAGTTGCATCAATAAAAGGAGCGAACATGGATGTGAGTGCAGATATTAAGAATGAAGAAAAGAGAGAGGAAAAGGGGTCCCTATGTCCTCCAGCAGTCTAAGCCTATAGCAGCAGAACTATAGAGATAGATCAGGATAACCTGAGCCACTCTAACTAGAAGCTTTATCAAAAAGGAAAGTTTTAAGCCTAGCCTTAAAAGTAGACAGGGT